ATCCTCTTGCTCAGGGCAGAGGATCGTGAGGAAAACCTCCTCGCTGTCTGTCCACTGTCAGTCAAAAATCCTTTATTATGTTTACCAATCAGCATCAAGCAGCCAGCTTAACGACATGCACCTGCCCCATAGACCCCCTAGGCTGAGCCTCACAGGAATCAACGTATTTTGTCGTGTTATCCAATCAGGGCTCTGCTTTCTCGATGCTTACCTCAATAGACAGAGGTTCAAACCTCAGCAGTGATTAGACCGACATTTCAGACTGACAGATAGCTTCTTGCTGCTCCAGAGTGGAGGGAAGTTCACTTCAGGGGAAGAAAAAATAAGCTGATTAATCTGCAACATACTCATATTTCTCATATTTAATGCAGTATAATGAATACATTTAGTATATTTGAAAATGCATATTTTACCTATCAATTAATGGATTTACAGGGGTTTAGTCTCCCTAGTGTTCAGTGATAAATTGCTACTGTTATATAGAAAAGAGAAGCACCACATTCACACATTCCCAGGATTTCCTTTGATGCAGCAATGACTACTGCCAGTAGATGTCCCCAAAGGGGACTGAATGAAGCTTCAGGTAATAAACCACTTTGAGACAAAGGATCAAAATGATTCAATGAAGGCAAATAATTGATACTGAACTTCCTAATACTTTTCTATGTGCTAATTACATTGCTGAGGAGCTTCAGCAACAGCACAGATTTATAGTCCCCACACTACAGAGATATTGGAATCTAAATGTTTCTCTGACTGTGACTGGCTGGATGTGCTCTCTTCATCCTCTGACATGGGAGTTGGCTCGGAGCTCGTCTGGCTAGCTCTGTTTCTCCTGGACGGTGCCGCCTTTTACAGTTGTTTTTTGTATCTCTGCTTCCGTCTCCCTGAACCCCAGTTGGCCTCGGCAGATGGCCGCTCACACTGAGCCTGGTTCGGCTGGAGGTTTCTTCCTGTTAAAAGGGAGTTTTTCCTCTCCACTGTTGCTACAAGCATGCTCCATAAAAGACATTTCATCCCGAGCCCGTAACATCCCCGTAAGATCCCTCACACCCCCATGGGCTTTTCTCCCTGCATCTTTCTGGAAAGAGGCTTTGAAGCATCCGATGCAGGTCCAGCAGATTCCAGAACAGCTTCTTCCCCACTGCCATTAGACTGCTGAATGTTGTGTAAAAAAAAAAAAAACCCCAAACAAATCCCCCCAAAAAACTGAAGAACTGCAACTATACAGTCATATGTTTACATTATTGTTTTTTTATGACAATGTTTTTTATGACTGCTGCTGAACTTATCAAGGCTGCACTTTAAAAAATGAAATAGTCTAGAGAGCTGTACTTAAAAAAATACACAAAGTGTACAAAAGGAAAAAATGAAATCTGTCTAAGTCTGTGTAAGTCTTATATTAAACTCCATTTACAATCATATGAGCACAGAGCAGCCGTCTTGTTTGGACTCATAATGAATGTCATCAGGTTGAAACCAATCAGGTGGGTACGGATGTGACTACAGGTGACATGCTGTTTCTTGTGGTTTTGTAGTCCATGGAACATGTCAAGCTGCTGCAGAAATTCTCCAGGGAACAATTTCTGCCAGTTTAGCTTAAATAAGGTGTGATCTCTTATATTTATAATTAATCTATTATTTATTATTCAATTATCTTTAATTTTGGCACTGAGAGTGGCGCATCGTAAAGAACTGAAAACAAAAATGTTTGGGTTTTGTTATAATTAAAAATTAGATGATCAGTTCAGTTTATTCCTCTTGCTCAAATAGACAACATTTGTAGACAGTTCATTTAAATCTGGAGCTTATGAATTGGTTGGAAGGATAAATGTCATTTTAAGTTTGGAAATGAATCTCTTTATATAAAGCGGATGAGGAAATTTAAGAGTTCTCAATGCACAGATTTTATTTTTGGAGTAAACTTTTAATGAGGAAAATCTTTTAACTGGATTATGATATATTTGTTAAGCTTTTTCTCAAAAATCAGTTTTTTGCATTTTTTGTCTCTTAGATTAATTCCTTCAATCAGTGCAATTTTAAGTTTCAGAAATGGAAAATTACTAAAGCAACCTTGCACTAAATTCATATTTCTTTTGGCATTTGTTTACAATTAGTCCATATTTCAGGGATTGGAATTTAACAAAAAGATAAATTTCTATGCAAGATGACTCTGTTCTTCATGTGAGGAAAAGTTATGTTATTTTTTATGGAATTTTTAGATTTTTTTTTTTTTTACACATAAATTTAAATTTTAATAAATTAATACATTTCCTTTACAAGTTTAGAAGAAAGAGCTTAAGATTTTGCAGAATAAACAAGCCTGGATAACGATTCCGGTTTAGTCAATGGAGTCCTACCAAAATGAGTAATATCCCTTTGTAACCAATTATCTAATATAGTTTGAACTACGGTCTAGTCTGGAATGTTAAATAAGCGTGTCTCTGGACCACCATGAATTTTCATTCTCACATTTGTCAATATTAAGATTAAGACCGGAAGCCTCAGAGAATAATTTAATCACCTTCAAAGTAATTGGAATTTGATCCTTTTTCTTTAGACATGTTTTGTCGTCTGCTCACTGACTGATTAAAATAGATTTTTCATTAATACATATTCCGAATAATGTATTCAAAAGATTTTAGATGAATAGAAAGAAATACATTGACTATAATAAACAAAAGAGAAACTACAGCCTTGTCTGATGCCACAATTGATATCAAATCCAGGTCCCTCCTGGGAGTAAGACAGAGCTATTAATGTTTTTTATAAAGCTTTAAAAGTTTTCTCTGAAGCCAAAATGCTTTAAAGTTTCAAATATAAATTTATGCTTGATGGAAAAAAGGAATAAGACAAGTCCATCACCTGCAACAAGTAGTGATAATAATATCTAGACCCAAATAAATTTTATGTATGGATTGTCCTTTCAGGAATCCTGATTGTGTAAAGCTAATAATCTTTGAAAATCCTTATTTTAATATACCTTCCAACACAGTTGTTAGAATTTTATAATCTGTATTTAGAAGAGTGGCTGGTTTTACATTTTTTAGTTTGCGTTTGTCTTTACTAGGATAAGGAATTAATTTGATTATACTCCGTTTCATTGTTGTCATGAGTTCATTGTAAACTATACATTCACTATAAAAAGTAGCAATTCAAGATCTTCTCAAAAAGTTTAATTATTGCAGGTTAATCCATCCAGACCAGGACAACAGAGGAATTTTTTATTTTTTTTTATTGCGACATCAAATTCCGCAATATTTAAATTACCTTCACACAAATATTTAAAGGAACCTTCTATCTCTGAGATTAGATGTGTAATTTTGCTCATTGTGACAGGATTTATACACATTGCTGTAGAATAGAGACTTTAATGTTATACGGGATCACTACATTCTTTGCAATTTACTAATAGTGAATTTTGATGTTGTCTTTTCTAATCTAGAAAGATAAGGATACATTTTTTTCCATCTTCTATTTGGCTCTAGATTGTATGTATTCACCTTTGTGTTACCAGCTAGGGGAACTCAGTATTTTGCTTCAGAAAGGTACAAAGTTAATATTATGGCTTTTGGCATTAAAAAAAACATAGGATACTATCATTGCATTCAAGCCACTACTAAGGACTGAATCCTTGTGATTCTTTAATAAAATGGACGGTCAGAAGAATAGTGACTTCCAAAACTTTAAAACTTCCAAATTCCGATTAAAAACATGTCTGGTAGATAAAAATTATATTCCTCATTGTGAGCTAATGTGTAACATTTTACATATAGGACTAAAATATTGAAACAGAGCTCGTCATCCAGTGGTTATTTAATGCATCTTGAATACAGTTAAAACAAAGAACCGTTTCTAAGATTCGGGAGTATTGAAGATTTCTCATTTTTTGCTTCCAGAGGATCCGTTTAAAATCTAATCCTGTTTCTTCTGTCTGAGTCATCTGCAGAATGTACCTGGTTATATTCAGGAAGCAATAGCTTATAAACATGATTAAAACAGGTCCCTCTTCCCTCAGTCTGTCATTCATTCAGGCCTGTTCACAAAACATAACTACCAGAGCAAGTAGAGGGTTAATTATTCTCTATGTTCACTTTTTAAGAGTTTCAACCAAACAACATAGTGGATGCATAATTTACCCGTTAGATGGGTGAAAGTAGAAACTTTGAAACGCGATAATAAATCTCAACATTTATTCTTAACAAATGCTTTGTTTTCTGGGTTTTAGGATTGATGCCATTATTTTGGTTGGTCAAGTGTGCCATAGCTTGTTCTTTCTTGTTCATTTTTTCTTCAAACCACACAAAATGTTTTGCTTTTTACCTTTTTGCTGAGTCACGATTCCAACAAGGCCAAAGAAAAAAAACAAAAGAACAGCAACAATGCATGTAAGTTCCCTTTATTTTCTCCATTCATGAAAAGGACCTTACCCTTCTAAATTAATTAAACCAATTAAACAGCAGCCTTAAACATTTACAAAATTAAAAAGAAAAACAAAAACACAGAGGGTGAAAATCATAAATATTCACAGTATCCGTATTAAATTAATCACAGCTCCCCCCTGTTCACTACCAGCCCCCCTGTGTGAGGCAAATTAAATTTCTCACTCGTTTCCTGTCAGAGAGGAAGATCTCGCTCTCTTCAGGTGTAACAGTACAGCTTCTCTACAGACATAAGGTAGCTGCTGTTGGGTGTCAGCATGTGCAAATTCAAGTAACTTAGAATTGCTCACAAACATTCTGACATTTAATTTCGCAAGCAGATTTTTTTGTATTTAAAGTGCTTATTTTTTACAATTTGTCTGTGAGCGTTTGGGTCGCTGCATGTCGGATAAGACAGATCTTAAAGTAATACAGAATGTACCCTGGTTATAAAAAAAAAAAAAAATAAATAATTGGAATTAATCCAGGCACCTTGTTGGTCGGGAAAGCAAAACATTCAAGTATTCTTTCTCATAGTGAGAAAATGTAAAAGCTTTAATGTGTGCACTTTTTTTTCCTTTTCTCTCTGTTAATCCCTGCTGCTTCGGCGGCTTGCTGATGAACGGACGCTGCTGCTGCTACTGCTGCTGGATCGACGTCGTTCCTCCAATCTTTGGGGGTTTTCCTCCTTCCAGCTCCCGCCTCCTCGGCCACCCACCGCCTCTGGATTTTCTCTCTCCCTGTTGCGATCTAAAGCATTCTTCTCCTTCCCTGGCTTCTCTCCTTTCTGTACCCTGCTCTCATCTCTGCTTTTGCTTTGCATTAATTCCCAGTCGGTAAAGCTTCTGTAAGAGCCTGCAGGAGGCCCATAGGAGTGTGTGCCCCTATCCCTGTGGTGGCTGTAAGTAGGAGGAGAGTGCTGAGCCCCTAAGGGTCGGTCTTTGTAACTGTAGTCTCCTGTAGGATAGTGATAATTGTAGTCAAAGAGAGAGTTTTTGTCTTTGCTCTCAAAGTCCAGGAATTCTTCTCTGTGTCTTTTGGCTGAATGTTGATCAGGCATAAAGGTCGATCTGGAGGATGTTCTGCTGTGAAAATAACTCTGGACACTTTCTCTTGAAAGGCCTTTCCTCTCTCCATCTTTTGAAACCGAGAAATGAGAAGAAGAGTGAGATGAAGACATATTTCTCTTTGACAACAGGACTTCTGGGTCTCTCTTCCTTTCCTCGTCCTTCAGTCTTTGCTTTGAAATCTCCTGCTCTCGTCTTTCCTGCTCTCTTATTCTCCCTTTGTCCCTTTCTTGCTCACTGCCACCAGAGGGCGCCACAGCAGAAAAGCGCCCAGAAGAAGCAGAGTTTTTCCTTTTCTCCTGGCCCCTGCCTTCCACTGTCACTCTGATCCCGTCTCTCCCTCTCTCTGTTGATCTGAGACTCTTCTGTTTATTGTCTCCTACTGACTCAGTGTCTGTCCTTGTCTCTGGTGGCTGTCCTGCTCTCTTTTCGCTTTTATCCGAGTCTTTTTCCTTTTTCTCCCACTTGATGCGAGGTACCTGAGGAGAGGAGATGAAATGTGAAAATTCTGCACAATGTTTGTCCTTTCAGAATCAGTGAAGAAGTCCAAAAAGAAATCCAAAGTAAATATTTTTCTTACATTTTATAGTGGAAAAATTATTTTTTTTAAAACCTTTTATATTGCTAAAGAAATAAGAAAAAGCAATCAAATGAAAATGTTGACTCTCTTAGAACTGAGTTGGTTAAAAATAAGTCTACTCAGAAGATTTAAACCGAATGCAACAGATAAATGGATAGAAAAAAATGATTTTCAGTTGAAAAAGGTATTATGCAATATCAACTGACATAATGCACGCTTTCCTCCAACAGCTGCTCAATAATATATGTGCTACAGAGGAAACAGCTCTGATTTATCATTGTGTTTTGATGTAAAAACCTTCATTCATCCCTTTTCTCTGATTATTCAGAGATATTTATATTGTGTCAGAGTGACCAAGCTCTGCAGTCAAAACAAAGCAAACAGTCTTCCACATCTTCAATACAGTGCATGTAGAACATCTATAAATGTGGACTAACACCCCAAGCTCTGAGCTTTCCAGAGGACAGAATGAAGAGCAGACATGCCCTGTGTTTGATATTTAATAGTTTAGTTTACACCTTTTAGTTTTTTTTTTTCTGCGTGTTTTGAAGAACCTCTAGCAGAAAAAATGACTAGCTTTGAGATGTCAGGTCACAGTAAGAACTTCTACACCAAAAATTTTTTCTATGATGCCAATATAATTTATCTAGCATGAATAGGATATATTCAGGTCTGCAAGATCGTTGTTTTAACTGATTGAGACCATCAGGGATAATTTTTTTCACCAAATGGTGGAATACTTTCATAATGATGAAACAACAATGCTGTTTATGTACATATATAAACAAATACAAGTGAACACACATAATCCTAAATGAACCAACTCAGGTTGTTAGTCCTGTCCTGATTTGACCTGTAGACTCACCAGTGTAGGCTCATGTTGTGTCACTTCTGCACAGGCATTTGGTTCCTCCTCCAGTAGCTTTCCCCTTGCTGTCCTCTCCTGTCTCCATCCATAAACACTGGTTAAAGAGGTACAGATAAAATACTATACTGAGATAAAATATTTTGTTTGAATAAAATCCAGTCAGAACTACACATTCAGTGACAGCTTTGACAACAAATAATCAGTTTTGTTATTTAGTTTAAAAAAACATTCTGGCTTAGCCACTGCTTGATTGCAGATGTTCTGTGGCACGGATACCAGCTTTGTTAATAAAGAGACATGTATAGGGTGCAGAGACAGCAGAGCTACCGGGCACTCGGAAGTCAACAGAACTAGGCAGAACTATGTCATTATGAACAATTAATAGGGCAGAGCCAGTATTATGCATAGCTTCAAAACCAGAAAGACATTTTTCTAAAAGGTTTTTATTCTAAGAGAAGTTAAATAAAACCTTCAGGGATTAAAAATTAAGTTAGGAAAGGGGAAAGTTGGAATTCTCACGAATGCTGTACAGCAGTGTTCCCAACCTTTTTTTTTTTTTTAAAAGCTTACCCCTTTGGGCATTTTGTTTTATCATCAGTAACCTCTCTCAGTATTGATGACTGTCTAAAAGTGGAACATACAATAACTGATTATAAAACTATTTTACTTGATGTATTAACTTGAGCATTTATGAGTTCCTTTCATGAAAAAGTTGCCTGGATGTTAATAAGGAATCAAAATAAATACAACATGATATCCTATTATAAACCTGTATTTATTAAACTGGAGCTTCTCTGAGTGACACCCTTATAATCACATTTAAACTTGAGGAATTTGGAACAAAACACAGGACTAAAATTATAGCTAGACTGACGTAATTAGTTTTACTTTGTTTTCATCAAAACACCTGAGCAGCTTTGATGATCTCTGATAGCTCAGTGTGAAAAACAGCTGATCCCAGTCTGTTATCTACATCCAGTCTGTTCCTCTGCTTGGTTTGGATTTGTCACAGCTGAAGGTCAACTCATACATATAAGAAAAAAATACCTTTTTTTTGATAAAAGCTTGTTTAATGTTTCAATTTGGTACTCAGAAAGCAAAACTACGGTGGCCCTGAAGTGCAAACTGCCATTACAAATCTAAAAGCGCAACTACATTAAGGAAATCGCAACTACATTAAGGAAATCGCAACTACATTAAGGAAATCGCAACTACATTAAGAAAAACAAAACTACATAAAGCAAAGCGCAACTACATTAAGGAAAACACAATTACATTAACCTACCGGAAAAGGTAGGTACCAGTGGGAAACATGAGACATCGCTGATTGGATGACGGCGCCGTTTAGAATAGAATAGAATATGTTTATGTACCCCTTGCAATGCACTAGTGGACCACTAGGGGTAGGCGTACCCCGAGTACACCCATCACTGCTGTACACTACTGCTTACAGACATCCTCCATCCAGTCTGACTGAGCTTTATGTGATAAACTGAAAGGTTTAATGGTTGTTAACACTATGATCACTATCAGTGGAGCAGTCAGCTGATACCATAACACAATGAAGGAGACAGGAAAAACTCATGCAGTACCTTACAAATGAATTTATACTATTTCTCAAAGGATAAGATTTGATAAGACAATTTTGCTGACCTGCTGTGTTCTGATGTGTCATTTTGTTCATCAAGAGGTTTTTTTGTTTTGCTTCTCTGTGAGCTTAAACTATCTGCCTCTTCTTTCTGTGTTCCATCTTTGTTTTCTCTGCCAACACTTCCTCTGTCTACTTGTGTGTGGAGCAGTTTGGGACCTCTGCAGCCATCATCTTCTCTCACCGCCTCTTCTTCCTTTCCTGTTTCCTTGCTGTCCTTCAGTTCTTTTAGAGCACAGTGCCATAAATCCATGTCCCCCTCCTCTCTCTGGTCCTCTCCATCCTTTCTAGGAATTTCTATCTCCATGTCAACAGCATTTATGTCAGACTCTCTGATCTCTTGGAAGAGAGATGGCCTCTCCAGTAACAAAGGTCCAGAGTTTGGTTCTTCTTTTTCATTAACTTCTGTTTTTTTATTTTCTTTCTCCAACTTCTCTTCTGTAAAAGCAAACTCTACTCCTTCCTCAGTACAGATTCCCAGACTGGAAGAGCCCTCTTCAATCTTGTCGTCCTTCTTTTTCCCATCCAAGTTGATATTGATGCTTATCTTCTTCTGAGAAATCATCTTCACCCCTCCTTCCCAGATGTCTTGTTTAGTCAGAGGTGCTGCTGGGCTCTCTTTCTTAGTGCTTTGGGTTCCTCTGCCAGACGGCTTTAGTGATTCACGATGAACACTTTTGGGCTTTTCTGCAGATTTAGGTTGGAGGCATTTGCCACTTTTAGTCTTACTAAGAATATCCCTGTCTTTACTATTTCTCTCTTCATCCTGTTTTTTTCTCTTTCTGTCCCGCTCTGATTTTGAGTCGTGAGTCTTGCTGCCTTCAGGGTATGGATGTACTTTGGTGTCTAACCTATCTGTGTCTGTGATGGGTTGAACTTTGTGTTTTTTCTCACTGTTTTTAACTTTTTTCGACCCTCGCTCTCTTTTCAAGTTAGTTTCCTCTTTGCGTTTGTCCTTTACTTTGTCTAAACATTCGTCTGGTTTCAGAAGAGGTTTAACTGATGTGTGCTTTACTTTTGGATCATCCTTGCAGCTGCTTGGTTCAGTGATGCGCCGCCTCTTGTCCTGTCTGAGAACGTTGATGGAACCAGAAGAATCAGACGAGGGAGATTTCTCAGATTTTTTCTTCTTTGGTTCTTTTTTGAAAGCACTACAGTCTTCATCCTTCTTCTTTGTTTGTAGATTGTCACCTGTTATTGTTTCTTGTAGATTTACTTTCTCACTGCTTTTTGGTGAAGAATGTGTCAGATTCCTATTCTTCTCATTTCCCTCCTCCAAATGATCCTTAGGTTGAACTTCAATTTCTAATGACATGGAAGGTTGGTCATTGGAAGAATGAGCAGGTGAAGAATGGCAGTCATGGGCTTTAGAGGAGCAGCTGTCACCTGAGGGATGACGTATTGGGGAATGATGATCATTTGAAGAATGAGATGGAGGGGAACGACTTGAGTCCTCAGATGTAGGAGAGCGATCTCCCTTCCTGACTGCGTCTCCTTCTTGTTTTAGGTAGTAAGAGTCTTGAGTATATGGTGGTGGTGGAGGAGGAGGAGGAGGAGGGAAAGGCAGCTGGTGAAACTGGCTAATATAGCTACTGATATATTTATTGTACCATTCTTGGTACTCCCTCTTCCACAGAAGGTAGTGCTGCCTCTCCAGCTCCAGGCATCTTCTATCATTCAAAGCCTTAGAACCTAAGGATTTTCTCTTCTCCCTGGATGAGCGCTCCCCTCGTCTCTTTGAGCCATGGCTGCTCAAGGCTGACCTCTTGCTGTGGTGGTGGCTCATCCGGCTGTGGTCTGAGGACGACTTGGATCTACAGTTGGAACTACTTGGAGGTGAAGAAGATGAGGACGGAGTGGGAGAACGAGGCCGTTTGTACCCAAAGGACCTGGAAGGGTTAGAGTGGTTGTGGAAAGCCTTTTGATTGGAGAAAGGAGAGCAATGTCTGGGGAAAAAAAGAACAACCCTGCTGAAGACAATACAGATATTGCTCTTTTAAGAATGGTAGCTGCATGAAAGGCCAATTAAATCATTTCAAACCGTTATGTCTTGCATTACAGGTGCTGGTCATAAAATTAGAATATCATGAAAAAGTAGATTGATTTCAGTAATTCCATTTAAAAAGTGAAACTTGTATATTATATTCATACATTACATACAAACTCATATATTTCAGATGTTTATTTTGTTTAATTTTGATGATTACAAATGACAACAAATGAAAATCTCAAATTCATCATATCAGAAAATTAGAATATTACTGAAGACCAATAAAAACAAAGGATTTATAGAAATGTTGGCCAACTGAAAAGTATGAACATGAAAAGTATGAGCATGTACAGCACTCAGTATTTAGTTGGGCCTCCTTTGGCCTGTATTACTGCAGCAATGCGGCGTGGCATGGAGTCGATCAGTCTGTGGCACTGCTCAGGTGTTATGATAGCCCAGGTTGCTCTAATAGTGGCTTTTAGCTCTTCTGAATTGTTGGGTCTGGTGTATTGCATCTTCTTCTTCACAATACCCCATAGATTTTCTATGGGGTTAAGGTCAGGAGAGTTTGCTGGCCAATTAAGAACAGGGATACCATGGTCCTTCAACCAGGTACTGGTAGCTTTGGCACTGTGTGCAGGTGCCAAGTCCTGTTGGAAAATGAAATCTGCATCTCCAAAAAGTTGGTCAGCTGCAGGAAGCATGAAGTGCTCTAAAACTTCCTGGTATGTGGCTGCGTTGACCCTGGACCTCAGAAAACACAATGGACCAACACCAGCAGATGACATGGCACCCCAAACCATCACTGACTGTGGAAACTTTACACTGGACTTCAAGCAACGTGGATTAAGTGCCTCTCTTCTTTTCCTCCAGACTCTGGGACCTTGATTTCCAAAGGAAATGCAAAATTTACTTTCATCAGAGAACATGACTTTGGACCACTCACCAGCAGTCCAGTCCTGTTTCTCTTTAGCCCAGGCAAGACGCTTCTGACGCTGTCTGTGGTTCAAGAGTGGCTTGACACAAGGAATGCGACAGCAGAAACCCATGTCTTTCATACGTCTGTGTGTGGTGGTTCTTGAAGCACTCACTCCAGCTGCAGTCCACTCTTTGTGAATCTCCCCCACATTTTTGAAGGGGTTTTGTTTCACAATCCTCTCCAGGGTGCGGTTATCTCTCTTGCTTGTACACTTTTTTCGACCACATCTTTTCCTTCCCTTCGCCTCTCTATTAATGTGCTTGGACACTGAGCTCTGTGAACAGCCAGCCTCTTTAGCGATGACCTTTTGTGTCTTGCCCTCCTTGTGCAAGGTGTCGATGGTCGTCTTTTGGACAACTGTCAAGTCAGCAGTCTTCCCCATGATTGTGTAGCCTATAGAACTAGACTGAAAGACCATTTAAAGGCTTTTGCAGGTGGTTTGAGTTAATTAGCTGATTAGAGTGTGGCACCAGGGGCCATCAATTTTGAACCTTTTCACAATATTCTAATTTTCTGATATGATGAATTTGAGATTTTCATTTGTTGTCATTTGTAATCATCAAAATTAAACAAAATAAACATCTGAAATATATGAGTTTGTATGTAATGTATGAATATAATATACAAGTTTCACTTTTTAAATGGAATTACTGAAATCAATCTACTTTTTCATGATATTCTAATTTTATGACCAGCACCTGTATACCTACATAGCAAAAACATAGCTCCTAAAGAATAACATAAGACCAAAGGACACTGATAAAAAAAAAAAAGCTTTTAACACGTGTTAAGGAGTTTTAACATTTAATAAAACAGTTAACAGGTTTCCTGTCTGGGATTGTGCTGCACAACTCAACCATTAAAAAGCAGAATTATGTAAGGGACACTCTTACTATGAAATAAAACTCTAAAGCTAAAAGAAAATAATAAAAATAAAATAAATCTGCTGGTCTGTGCTAAAACAGAAAACACCAACAACTAAAAAGATACAAGCTTTGTTTTAGCAAATCCTCAGAAACCTGTAATCCTTTCCACATGTTGCCAATCACTTTATATGGAGAATGTAAACGAATAAAACCTTCACCACGCAGGGAAAGTAATACCTTGATCTGGAGCGGGATCCAGAGCGACTGGATGATCCAGAGTAGGAGCGGGAAGATTTAGATTTGGAGGACTTTGAAGCAGAGTGAGGAACAGACCGTTTGTGTGGTGACCTGGGTGTTAGAGAACTAAGATTAGATCCAGGAACCCATTTTAATGTCAGTTCATGGGACTGATTCAGTTTTCCAGAGACATTTTTAAATATTTGCCCTTCTTAATTTTTTGTTAGCTTAAAATAGTCAATGCTTCAAAACCATTCAAACAGCTACATAACTCAGCTACAGACTCATAACACACTTTACACACGAGTTTGCAGCAACATTATGAGTCATATTTTCCTTTCCACTATACACCATTAGTCTTAAACTGAATGTAATCTGTACTTAACAGCCTCTGATTCCGATAAGTTAAAAGGTCCTTCCCGTAGCAGTTTAAACACTTTTTTTCAATGAAAAATACTTTAACCTTTATACTGATACCATCAACTTCATACTTACTACTTTATTTAAAGTCAAAGCTTCCATCTGCACCATTTTCTCAAATATCAGCCTAAATGGGGCATAAATGTTAAAAGGACTGAACCTTTTCTAGTGCTTTAAATTGAGTCCCATTCAAATTCGCTCAGTTGTTCAGATTAATTTCGACACCTATCCAGGAGAACACAAACTTTCTGTTATCAGAGTTAACAGGCTGACAACATTCACTCAGTTGCAGAGGAGAAAAAAAAGCACACACGTCAGGATATCCCTGGGTATCAAAACTGGGCATTTGTTAAGTCAGTCTAAAAACACTAGCAGGGAGAACAATGCTGCATCTAATAAAGAGGGGGGGGGGAAACACAATAACATTGGAATTCCATATGTGTCAGGGGTTTATAGAAAACTTAGATTTTTTTTCAAACCAAACAATGAAAATAGGTCAGGCATTAAAAAGAGGAGAGGGGGATTAAACCCTTCTGAGGGGGTCCAGGGGAATGCGGCCCCAGAAGAATATTTTCTATCATTTAATTTAAAGGGGCCAGTCTAATACACTTTGGCTACGTTCACACTTCAAGTCTTGGTGCTCAATTCCGATTTTTTGTCAGATTTTCAAGCGTTGTTGGTTACCAGCTGACTAAGGCAGCTTGTCTGAAAATAAGTAAGTCAGGCTTAAGAATTGCATCACTAAATGCTTTAGACAGTGCAGCTGCACAACGTGGCTGCTTGGAATAGATGTGAAACATCTGAATGTTTACTTTACCTTTCCTTTTTATTTCTTTGTAACCTGTACCACTCCTCGGAGATCAAAACAGGGATTGAGGGTGTGGGAGAGGAGGAGCAGAGGGACGGGATTGGCGTTCCAGGTGGGATTGGAAGCTTCCAGGCAGGTGTGGTTGGTGGGTATCCAGGGAGGTAACTGGTGAGAGGATGGTGGGTTGGAACAAATGTGTGGAACGGAGGGGAGGGAAAGAGAGGGGAAGGTGTGGCTGGTAATGAAGTGTATGATGAGGAAGAGGTGGAGGTTTTACGCTGCTCTAAGCTAGATTCAGTCAAGCTTCCAGCAGGGTAATTGGAAATGGAGCAGGTACTGGAGGGGATAGTAAACATGATCAGGCTCAAAGGAAAAAGACGGAATCAGAACCAGGCATGTCCTCAAACACACGGGGCCATACCTGTCCCTGGAGGTTGATGATCCAGAGAGTCTTGTGGCTGAATCTGTGCATAACAAAAAAACAAAGACTCTCACTAGAGTTGATAATGCTCTTCTATATAATATTTATTTTATCCAACAACAACTATTGCTAATCTACATGAATAAAAAAATACATAACAGAATCTAAAAAAATAAAACAATTTAGTGACCTACTGACCTAAAGTGGATTGTATTTGATTCATACAGACAGGCTGAAGCTGTTCTGTCCCTCCTGCAAATTTTTTCTGAGCAGACAAAGGAACTTCAGTAGGAACAGAGCTCTTATGGTTGTGCGTTTCGCCAACGTTGAGTCTCAGCACCTGTGGAATCAGCTCAGATGGAGCAACAGGAGAACTTTCGCCTGAAACGAGGTCAGACGGAGCGATGGCCTCAGACTTATCTTCAGTCGTTTCTAATTCCTCACTAACAGAAAACAGGAAAAACTCATTAGCCGTACATAAAAACATTTATATTTGCTTTGCAATCATTTATTCTAGTAGCACAATCTTTTAAAGAGGCTTAAAAAGAGCCTATCATTTAATTCATTTCCCTCTCCTCATCTCTCCTTAAACCTTGTGTTTCATGGTAGAAGTCCAACTACAGCCTTATTTACAGAAAAAGGAACAACTGTGCTGCCAGAAATTTATTGCTGTGACTGGTTTCAGTTTATATGACCAAACGTACAAAATAAAATGCCATAAAAACCTACCGCAATATTTTATGACAAAAAAGAAAAAAAAGAGCAGTTAAGTGTGCCATTAATCCCGTCCATGAGCTTTCCATGGACTTGGCAGTAAGCTGACATGTAAGTAGGGAATGCAATGTTTCCTTTATAAACAACACAATAAAAATGTACTGGGCGTACCATCTTTTATTGCATATCTATGCTACATACCTGTTGGTTATCATGGCCTGGCTCTGCTCAGTCTGGGATGATGGCTTCTCAGAGGAGGTTTCAAAAGGATTAGATTCTGGAATTGTAGGAGAGCAATCAATACTTTGTGATGACGGTGGTGATTTTTCCAACTTTGGCTTGTTCTCAGGAGACTCCTGTAAATAAAATATGACAAGAAGAATTAACTGGATGCCAAAACCTTCAGAAAACCAGTGTTTAGTATTTAACAAATGGTTATAGCTTTGCAAATGTGCCAAATACAGAGATAAAGCTACCTTTCAGAGTACAAAATTTACCTGCTCTGTGCAGGGTGACTGGAGAGGTTTCTTGATCTTGTTCTGGACACTGGACGGGGTTGCAATGGGGACAGGGTTTGGTTTTGATGTTGTATTCTGAGACTGTGATGTGACACACATATTTATCTGGCCTTTGCTGCAGCTCCTTTCTTTTTTAAAATTGTTAACAGCCTGTGTTCGTCAAAAAAACAAATACAGTCAAACTACTGCAACAGACATGCAGACAGAATAATAGGATTACACTAAGCTTTTCTTTAATTGTACCTGTCTAAGGAATTTATTGGCTATCAAGGTGTCAGGGGAGACGTCTGATTGGCCACATGTAGGGCATAAATGGTTCTCTGACTCAAGCAAGGATGTTCGGATACCTATGGTAGATAAATGTGTTCAGAGGTAAAGAACAACCAAATGACCACATATCAGAAGAATAGGCAATACAGTTCTTAAAATGTAAAGATATACCAAATAAAGCCATTCACATTCAAAGTACACATGTGTGTAACAAACTCACAATCATCACAGTAGCTGTTTGCACAACAAGGTATGACCACAGCGTCACAAAGCAGGTCGCGGCATATCAAACATAGCAGCTCATCAGGTAGAGGCTCCTCCTTTTCTTCACATTTAGGTTGCTCTTGTGGAAGGAAAGGAGGCTTCTCCTTCTTACCAACAGCATATGCCTCACTGTGATCAGAAAAGCAAAAATTGCCAGACTTTAAAAAAACAAAAAAAGAACTTTTAGATTTATAAATAAAAAAATGAGATCAACACATTGAATTACACGTACGCATCTATGGCAGGAATTGCATAACGGCCGCAACTGGTCAGCATGACTCCTTTGATATTGGGATCGTCCACCTCAACCATGAAGGAACGGGGGATTCCAGTGCTTTTCTTGATCCTTGGAGGAGCCTCAAAATTCTTATCCTGCAGACAAACATTTTCTTTTATATCTATTGGAATGCTTCTTGTCATGGAGATACAGAATGTATATGTATTGGTGTGGTTAGCAAGCATCCAGTTTCCTCAACCCAACGTTAAAAAGAAAAACAAAAACAAAACAGCAGCTTAAATACACAGTACAAAGTCAGTGTTTTGCATCTATACCTGTCACTTCCAAATATTTTGTGACAAGACAGCACAGAAAACAAATAATCAATAATGGCTTTCTGACCATTTGCATAATGGCATCACATACAAACATGGCTGGATGTAGCATCCTGGTCAGGACCTGCATTACCAACACATGGCTTCCAACCAGAGTTGCCCAGTCAGTCCTTGTAGTTTCCTACATATTGTTTATGTTATTCTAGCTCAGCAAACCTAATTGCAATAAAAGGCTTTTTTTACCCCAGTGCCATGCAGAAGTAGGTGCAAGGGGAATTTAGACATTTGCTTCCGCTGTGATGGAGATCAGATGTATCTAAAACCAGAAGGACGGGATTTGGTTTTGTGGTTTTTATTTTAATTCAAAAGAGACTCCACAAAAAGAAAATACTAATGTAGGGGATAGTCCCTGTATTATGATGCTGGTTGAAACTAATTTGTCATTAAACTAGAGAAGAACTGAAGGTTCACTACAAACCAGTGGCGGCCGGCCCATAGGGGGCGCTGGGGCACCGCCCTCCCCGATAAGAAGAGAGAAACGTAAAATATATTTTTAGAAATTAACTCATAAATGTCAGTTTTACTCTCTAGAGTGTGTACCTATAAGAAAAAACAAATTATATAAACTACATTTCCCTACCTACTGTCATTCATTTGTGGATTTCCACAGACAGACTCCTACCGTCTCTGTCTTGGGGCATTGATCAGACAGACCCACATTTGCAGAGAATCTGTCAATCATGTACTATTGCTAGGTGAATTTAATGGCCAATCAGCGTCTCAGACGCTTTAACAGGCTGTAACGAGCGAGATGCAGCTTCCACCAAATTCGGTGAGATCCTTATTTATCTACCCGTTTGCTAGAGGAACATCCCTGTTGTAGGATATGAACATTTCATGTCATGGTTATTGTGACTGTGACGAATCCACCTCGTCGCTTAAAGGGATAGTTCGGTATTTTTGACATGAATCTGTATGGCATCCCCATCACCAGTGTCATGCAATCACACTGACTTACCCCTGGCAGCGTCCTGTGAGCAGAGTTCTCGTCCAGTTTTGGTCAAGCCAAAAGTAGTCCGGCAGGTTTGCTAGAACCAGCGAAATAAAACGTTTCTCTTCCCAAAACATTATGTGTTCAAAAGAGTGATATTTTCGCATCCCAAAAACGTTGTAGTGGAAAAAGTCACACGTCGTTATCACTTGGTCCTATTTTCTCTCTGTTCGTATCAGTGCGCGCCGTCATTCAGACAGCTAGGGCCTACTAACCTGACAACAGCCAGATGCATGTCTCCCTCCGCCCAGCTAGGAGCTAGGCGGAGGGAGACATGCATCTGGCTGTTGTTGAGCTCGCTGTCTGAATGACGGCGCGCACTGATACGAACAGAGAGAAAATAGGACCAAGTGATAACGACGTGTGACTTTTTCCACTACAACGTTTTTGGGATGCAAAAATATCACTCTTTTGAACACATAATGTTTTGGGAAGAGAAACGTTTTATTTCGCTGGTCCTAGCAAACCTGCCGGACTACTTTTGGCTTGACCAAAACTGGACGAGATCTCTGCTCACAGGACGCTGCCAGGGGTAAGTCAGTGTGATTGCATGACACTGGTGATGGGGATGCCATACAGATTCATGTCAAAAATACCGAACTATCCCTTTAAAACAACCTCTAACTTTGCGCGCCACACACACATTCCTGTTATACTGTGCTTGTGAGGACCAATTCACTCGCACTGAGCCCAGTAGCTCCATTAACTTAAAACACACAAGCTGTTCCTGGTTACCTGCTGGCGTATTGAGGGTGCACACTTTATATTTCAGTGGGGTTAGCCGTGTGTGTGTGTGTGTGTGTGTGTGCGTGTGTACGTGTTTATGCTACGGGGACTTGTCATCTTCAGTCTGGCTGCGTCTTTGCTGGGTTCAAACCCAGTTTGGTGTAATTGAATAAGTCAATGAATCTGTGTAAAATAATTAAGTTGTAAAAATTATTTGTTTTTTTTTGTACATCAATTGTTTGTGGAGGTAATATATGGACAAAACTGATTTATGAGAAGAAATCAGAAATAAGAGAGCCTGAGGTGAGGGGCTTAAACTATTTAATGAGGGCTGTGGGAAGAAGAGCAGCCATTTCTGTTTTCTGTTTCTTTGTTACATTGCTGGTAACTGGAGAGAGGCTGAGGCCCAGAGGATCTTGTATATGTTAAGTTTCTTTTGCACCCTGTTTTGAGTTTTTGAGCACAATAAATCACCAACACCCGTAACCCGACTGAGCCTGGATTCTTGGAGGCCAAAGAACCCCATCACAGTGACCCAAATCATCACTGTTACTGTTATTATATAGTAAATTAAATCATTACTGTTAAATTGTATGTATTGTGCAATTGTTTATTTGAATTCTTATTCCGGATTAGTTGGAGACATACACTAGGCTATATCAGCCCCACCAAAAATATTTTTCACCAGCCGCCACTGCTACAAACTCAACAGATTGGGATCAGCACCCTTCAGACAGTCCTCTGAGGTCCACCCACAAGTGTTTAATTGACCTCAGGAGGGTTGGACATTTAAATCTGGATAGCCACTGAAAGCCCTCCTAAGCGTGCTCAGATGAGATGTGAGCTTACCGTATTTTCACGACTATAAGGCGCATGTAAACGTCTTTTTATCCCCTCAAAATGTGCGCCGCGCCCTTTGGTGCCCTTTTGAGACCACCATGCAGAACTCCTCATCGAGGAGATGATGAAAGAGTGGCAGCGGGAGGTGAATGTAAGGAGACCAGGTGTTTTTTTTCCACTCATCACCATCTCTGGTAATCTGTGACTCCATCTCACAGCTGATGTGAAAAACATGGTGAAACAAATGAACGCTGTGCTTATTGCAGGAGATCTGACAAAGGAACTTCAACCGCTCGACATCGGTGTGAACCGGGCGCAGCAGAAGCAGGGAGTTTACATGCAAAGTCAATGGTTGACGCACGTATAGGCACAGCAAAAAGGGCCCGCAGCGCGTTTTGAGCAGCAGGCACAGCGCGTTGGGAGCGTTTAAGCATCTGACGCGCCGCCAACACGCTGCTGCTGCCCGAGATGGAAAAATTTAAGTTTTGCTGCTGGACAGCAAATATACCTGCAAGGCAAAGAAAGGATAGGATAGCTTGGCCCAACGTGCGTCAGCCACACTTTTGCACAGCGCAGGCAGAGCAGCAAAGCTGCTTCAGACTGGTACAAGCAGCAAAAATGAAGCAGTAGGATAATAAAAGCGAACATATTCTGCCGGCAGAATAATTCCACGAAAAGTGGAAGGCAGCTCTGCTGGCACTGTAGTTCGAGCTTTCGCAAAAGCCGGCATCCTTTCCGAGGAGCCGCCCGGCACGGACTCTGACAGTGAAGAAGGGGAGATTGGCATGTCTGATTTAGCGCAGCTGTTTAATTCAGAAACAGAGGATGATGACTTTGATGGGTTTGATTAATACTTTGTAATAAATACATGAATAAAGCACAATCATACTCTCGCTCTAGTTTTCTACCTGAAAACTTAATTCAACAGCAGCCTCTGGGCCGGGTCGCCTCCAGGTTCACCGCGGCGGATGGTAGGTGTTTTTCATCTAAATAATCTAAAGGATTATAAAAGGATAATAGGATAATAAAAGCGAACATATTCTGTTGGCAGGTTTCAGGATTTTAATTTAATTTATGCGTCAATAAACTTTCAGAGGAGTGATCACAGCCCTGTGTCATCAGCGATGTGTCTCTCATGGCCAGCTCCCAGGTTTGAATAATACTTTGTAATAAATACACCTTGCAGCTATATTTGCTGTGATCAGTGGGAATAAAGTAGTTTTAATATGTTTTTAAGTGAGAAAATCTAGCCTAGCCTATCTAGTCCTACTCAATTCTAGTCAGAATATGAGTCTGATACTGCTCCATAGAGCTGTGATTATGGGGCGTGTTTCGAACGAATCAGGAAAAAAAATGCCTCTGCACTCAATTGGATAGACCTACAACCAATAAAATCAACGGAGTGCGTGACGTATGTTAAGCCAGGCACAGTTGTTTTCAACAAAAATCAAAGCGTGCAGTTGCACACCTAGAATAAGAAGATGAGCCTTGATCGCGTTTCTCTGTTCCTCTTTTTAAAATTAAATTGCTGTCGATATCTTCTAGAAAAGACCTAATAGCAGAATCTACACACCTCAATTCTCCAGCGGCAGCCATTGTTGTTGTCACCCATGCGCGCTTTGGTCACGTGGTTGATTACGTTACTGTTGATCATCTGTCCATCATCGTATAAAGCCCGCCCTGACAATTTGATTGGCCCGCCAGATATTGTGCGAGCATACTCGCGCTATTGAGCAATGCCAGACCGAACTTCCTGACCTCAAACGTTGTGGGCGGGACTAAGTTCGGAATGGCACTCAGGCTAGAGAAAATCCACCTGAAAACTTAATCATTGCAGTCAGTTCATCCAGATTATCATCCTGCCTACTATTTCTGTCAGAGGCGCTCAGAACCCCACATACCAGCGGTGCACCGACAATAGGAATGTCTCAGGGCCAGCTCCCAGGTTTGATTAATACTTTGTAATAAATACATTAATAAAGCACAATCATACTCAGTTTTGCTCCCGCTCTATTTTTAAATACGCAGTAGAGGTATTTAAACGTAGTAGAGGACATGTACCTGTATATAAAAAACGCGCCCTATAGTCCGGTGCGCCTTATGTGTGTGTTAAATACAGAAATGGCACACATAACTGAGACTGCGCCTTTTAGTACGGTGCGCCTTATGGTCGTGAAAATACGGTAGTTAAAAAAAAAAGAGTTGTGCTACAAGCTTGTCCATAAAGCACAATACAAGCACTTGCCACACTAACTGGACAGTTTCTGATATGGTGTCCAGTGGTTCCACAGCGATAACAGGCATAGTTCTCTGGTAGGACAGGGCACAGCTTGGAGTTCATCCTACAAGGAAAAGGAAAACATGGACAGGGTATGTTACACAGAAAACTGAAAAAAGCAATACAAATATTTGGTTAAGATTAATAATTAAGATGAAAATCTAAAAGATCACTCACTTCATCATATCACAGCTTGACTGATTCATCATTACTTTGATCTTATCTTCTTCTGAGACATCAGATTCCGCTAAATTAGCCAACTGCATCTACATAAATAAATTAGATAAACAAAAAAGAAAATAAGTTTTTGTTTAATTTAAACCGAAAACCCCTTTTAAAATGTCATTGTAAAAATAGGCATACCTTGGAGAAAAATGACAAAGCCCTAGTAGAACTCGAGTCACTAGCCTGTTAAAGTGGAAAAAAGAAAGAGTGAATAAAATTTTTAAATATTAAAAAATAAATTGACAATCTTCCTTTAAATTAATGTATTTTTGAACTGAATGTGAATAAAATAAAATCGACTCTTCTGAACTATCAAATGACAAAACTGACAACAAAAATGCCTAGTTTTTGGAGAAGCTACTGAAAGTTCCAAGTTAATGTCAGGTTACCATGGCGGTGCTCCGAGGCAGCGGCCAAGAACAGCTCCTCTGTACAATTTCGCAAAATATAAGCTTAAAACGATATAAACTAGAAAACAAACCTGCATCTATGATCGCCAATGCCTACTGAATCTACGGTCACAAAATGTTTTAAATACTGATATTTTTGACCGTTTAAAAATCTGCAGAGTGCTACGGACGGATGTAAACAGCGGAAAACTACAGACATAGGAAGAGATGTGTGAGACGGAGAAAGCGGAGCTGTAGAAGGGGGCTAACTAAAGAGAGATCCCCACAGACCACCACTTCCATCAATCCTGCTCTCCAACGTCCACTCATTGCAAAACAAAATGGATAATATACGACTGGAGCCCTCTTCAAAAAAAGGAGATATGTAACTGCTGCGCCATCATTCTGAAGGAGTCTTGGCTGCATCCAGCAATACCAGACAATGCTATTAGCCTGGAGGGGCTAATGGTATGCCGCGCCGATGGAAACAAAGAACTCTGTGTGAATGGAAACTCCTCTGAGACTGTTCCCAAGCAGTCTTCAGCATGTAGAAGGGAAGCGCAGCGCTCTGCAGGTGAAAATGAGGAGAGCACTCTAGATGCTTCCCTTCTAAATGCTGAAACATCCCCGGCCGGCTCCTCCCGGCCCCCTCCGGCTTCCACACCTTCTCCAGCATCGTCTGTCGCTGCCAAACCTACCGATGGCACCACTGCTGCTTCAACCACATCAGCCTCTTCAACCCAGGGGACAACCACCCGCACAGCATAGTCATCATCGTCCTCTTCCTCCTCTGAGCCAGGAGAGGCGATTGCTTCAAGAGCTGGAGGCAGTAATAGCAGCTCAACAACCACCAGCGTCTCAGTAAAAGAAATATTGTTAAGAGCTCCATATCATTCATATGGGACCACTGGAGTTTCTGGCTCCCGAGACCTCTTGCATGACGGCCCTCATGGATTCCTCCCCATCCTGACAGGGTCGCGTCCGAGGTGATAACCTTCTGTGAGACCAACGAACCTAGCGGCATACCCTGTTTTAAGAAGCCTGTGCGGCGCCACGGGTGCAAGGCCCCAACACACTCTGTTGTCACCGCCACACTCCATGCAACCTGTCGCACAGGGCAGAGTCTTAGCGCAGCTACACAACGGTGAAATTCTCTCATCTGCAGATGGCCGAGGGGAACAACGTGGATGACGTAACCCATAAATCCCAGAAGCCGAAGCCATAATCTGAAAGGGACTGGTCTGAATAGGTGAAACAAAGCGAGACAGGATTCCAGTGTGTCCACCCTGTCGGCTGACAGACGAGCGGTGAACAAAACCAAATCCAGTACTAATCCAAGAAAGATATTTTGTGCTGGGACTAACACGCTCTTCTTGTAATCCAATACAAAACCCAGATCGAGTAGGTGCTGAACGAGTTATCTGTGTTTGCCTTATCATCCAAATAAGTAACCAAGCAGATGCCCTGCTTCCTTAATGGAGCTATAGCTGCTTTGGTAGTGCCCAAACACACACACACACACTGCGTTTGTAACAGACGCTCTGAAAAGCTAATCGCAGATTATTCCTGTGTGGTGGGTACACGGAAACCCGCCGCAATGAATCAAACATAGTGGGGATGCATGTTTGAGCATCCTGAATTTGTACTTTCTGAGACAACTGTTTAGGGCCCTGAGATCAAGGACCGGGCGAATCCCTCTCCCTCTTTTTGGGATCCAAAAATACCTGGAGTAGAAGCTGATGTGACACTACTCCAGTGGAACGGGCCTGATTGCTCCTTTCTTTAGCAGTAGAGAGATTTCCTCCTGGGGCGTGCGGACAGATTATCCCCAAGCTTGAGTGTAAATTATGCTGAAAAATGGAGAGGGTACCCTGGCAAACTGAAGCCGATAACCACTCGTTATAGTCCGTTGAACCCAGGCTGACGTTGCGGGGGAAGCTCACCTGTGTTAAGCTCAGAGAGACATCCCAAAGGAGTCTCCCTCCAACCTTAAAAGATGGCTCATGGGGCCCCCTGGCAGTGGAGCAGAGTTGTTGCCAATCGATGGTACTGCGCATGTGCAGGGGATAATGTTTTTGTGGATTCGAACCCAATCCGCTGTCTGCCAGGAGCAGGCATTCCCTCCAGGAGTGGAGATGTGATTATATACCAGTTTATATTCTTTTTTTTATATCTTCATCTGCATCCTTGACCTTATGTCTGGATGCAAAGGGGGAAGCATGTTTTATTTTCATTTCTGAACAAGTTATTGTGATTGTGCAACTTTGGATTCAGGTTGAGCCAACTTGCTCTTTCCTGTACAACCATCCTCCCAGATTGTCCTATGGCCTGGACTGGTCAGTGCAGCACGTGGATTCAGATGTCAGTTATAACGCTGATTTCTTCCCACGTGTCCGGGTCCGGCTTGGTGGCCATGTCCTCACACAGTTCTGCTTGGTATACAGAGAGCATGGAGGACACGATAAGATCTCTCACAGCCACTGCTAATGCACTATAAGCTCTCTCCATCGAGGAAGACTGGAAACTGTCTGCTTTGGATGGCAGTGTGGGGTTCTTCGAGAAGATTGGTAGCCATGGGTGCAGGTGTGCTGTCACCAGCGATTCCACTGGGGGCATACGGTGGATGCCCCATTGTTGCATGCCCTCGCAATCCAGACAGGAAGCTCCCTGAATTGGAGTTTTCCCACAAAATGGACGGTCCTTCCAAGAGAACTCTCTTGTCTAAGAGCTCTGGGAAAACAGGAAGCAACTATTTGGCTGCCTGAGTGGTCTGGGGACATTTCTTCCCTTTGTAGCGTGATCTGATGGTCTTTGTAACTACCTCGGGCCAGAGGATGTTGAGCCTGGATGCAGCATGTTCGCACCCTGTCTGCATCTCTTGCTCATAGTGGGGGAGGCTGTAGCACTCCCCTCGCCTTCCCGGTGAGCCAACAGGGTTTCCAGCTTTGCATCCCGATCCAAAAATTCTCGCATGACTGGCATATCAGCCCGACAAGAACATAGAAACACCCATTTTCTTACAGAAGCCAAAGTTTTCCAATATAAATCAATTTTACATGTTTTCTACCACAGCATAGAGAAAGCGTTACGCCCTCCCTAACAGAGCCGAAGACAAGGGAAAATTCAGGGGACTGCGTTTCTTCATCTATCATAAGATCTGAACCTGTAAAGGTAGCAGCTACCGGGGAGTGCAGATGGACGGCAGCTCACAACTCAAACACTTTCTCTCTTGAGACCTATATAAAATTTATTATACTGCAGGAACAGTATGACAAAACACTTCAGCAGTTTTGAAACCGGGACTTTTTCTTACTGCAGTATAACTTGAAACCAGTAACGAGCTCATGCCTAGTGATGTAGAAGTCTGATTAAACTTTTTTGCTTCCACCAGAGAAAGCACGATGGCAGATTTGACGAGGCCCCTGAAGTATTCCTCTACTGTCCAACAATGTTAAGGGCATTAACTTCCCCCACACAGAGGTGATATTCCACATCCCCATACAAGTTTAAGTATCAAGCAGTGGGTCACAGAGGCTTCCACCTCCAAACACTACACAATCCTTTAAGTACCAGTCAATTAGAGTTCCCTTTCTAGGTGGTGGGCCTTCTGGGGAATGGCCAAACATTTGTTGCTAAAAAGCCCCAACCCCATGCCTGGCTCCAGAATGAGGCTCCTGGCTCTGCCATAACGGTAGACTTCACTAGTCATGATGTCGTCTTCATGAAGGCTTTTAAACTACACTTTGTATAACCCATTATCTAAATTTGTTTGCCATGGAAGACCCTACCAGGGGAATTTCATCCCAGATAAGTGGCCTCACAGATTAGCAGAGCCCTTAAACCACCTTACCATGTTATTGCGGCAGTTCCAGTTTGAGTAGTTTGCAATGTCCTAAGTGTGGCTTAGGTCACTTGCACGAAAGCTATTCTCTTGATTTAGAATGATAATTTATGATTCTATTAATTAGGACAATTTTTTTTATAGATTAGAAATCATCATCTGGCAAATAGAAATCCTAATGTCACTTTTAGTTATTTAATTCTCCTATTTGTAAGTTAAGGTGAAGAGAGGACATAAGCCTAGGACATCTGAGCTAGCCAGCCTGTTGTGCCAAAGGAACTAGATTTAGGGCTTGAGGAGAAAATTTAGAGAGAATTCTGGTACAAAAAAAAAAGCCAAATTGAAATACAATTTCTCCAAAATGACAGCTCATCTAAGAAAAATATGAAAATGTGGGGCAAATTACAAAATCAATTTCCAACTGCTAGTAAACATCAACTCCATCATCCATGCCTTTTACTCTCTGTTGTAAACAGATGCCACCCTAATAAATGCTATATTTGCACACGCATTTTTCCTTTAGTTTTGTCACTGATCCAGAGCTCACTATGGCAAAGATATGTTTTGTCCCCTTTCAGATAAATTTAGGTAACCCCAGTGTATGCCTTGAGCAGCAGGAGCAGCTAGTTTACATGTAAAGTCTATGGTTGATCCGAGTCAAGGCACGTCCAAAAGGTTCTGCAGTGTATTTCGAGCAGCTGGAGCATTGGACTTTGAAGGAATTCAACCAGCTGGAGCATAATGAGCATTTAAGCACTTGAGGCGCTTCACAAGCAGCTGACGCATGAGCTGGAAAAGCAGAACTTTTGTTGCTCTATGCGCCACAACAACTAATCCAAGACAAGATCCCCTATGTGGTGTTGGTTTCCTGTTAGGCACTGATGCACTCTGGCAGGTTCTCAAACAGTGCTTGGGTGAAACTAAAATAGCTCTGCAAGTGACTCTCATCAGCA